AAGATCAGAGCATGAGGTCTTTAAGAGCCAAGAAGCACCAGGAAAACGCAGCCTGTGATGGCAGCATCATGTCCCTAACATTCCCCCCTCTTTGGTTTAGATAAGAAATGGTGGTCAGTGCAAACCACATGCCAGAGGAAGGGGGCAATGTATCTGTCTTCTGTAACTACTTCCTGCTGAGTCTGGGATGTCGAGTCGACCTAGAGGCAGGCATGGGCCCTAGCTGGCTGTGTTATCCATTATGAGCATGGAATTGTTGACCACAATAGCATTTTTTTCTGCAATTGTTGGTAGGGCTTCCTGAGAAAAGTCCAAGCACAGAAATCAGTTAATGATGGAGGAGAGAGAGGTAGAAGATAATTTGTATGAGGCTGTGGACTGGGTTAGAGGTATACTAAGAACAAGTAAAAAGGCAAAGATTGTGACTTCAGTCAGGGTGAAGTCTGATAACATTTTTTGGAGCCACGCATTAGTGACCCAATTGGCTGTGTGGGTAACAGGACAAGGGTGGGGAGCAAACCAGAAAACATCAATCCAAAGATCATTTAGAAAATGTTCAAACTGAGCCAAGATTTGAGCTATGGTTAGTTAGTTGGCTGTCATGTAAACGCGGTGGTCTCACATAGGTCCCTGGCCTGAAATATCAGCTGGTGAGCCATCTGTCAGGAGAATTGAGTGGAGAGGCGACTGACCTGGGATAGAATAAAATGGAGAACACAGGGGGCAACTGCATAGGTAGATATGGAAAGGGCGGCAGAAATCAGCTGTGGGCCAGTCTGAAGAGTGGCAGGAATTTGATGATTTGGTCAAAGAACTAGCATAAGGTGACCAGGAACATGATTTCAGAAGATCCTGTCTGGGTCTGAAGGAGGGCTGAGTTAGGATGGGAGAGAGTCAAGGTACACACCAGGGGTTTATCACAGGCCAGGTGGTCTTTTATAGGTTTGGTCCTGGAGAAACAGGTTTAACCTCTCCAGACCTCTGTGGCCTTGGGGGGAAGGGAAACTAAAGATAAGAGCATGAGGTCTTTAAGAGCCAAGAAGCACCAGGAAAATGCAGCCTGTGATGGCAGCATGAGCTTCCTAACAGAATGTGCACAAGCAGATTCACACATGCATTAAAGTCACCCAAAAGAAGATTAAACAAAGGGAGTGGAAAAATGAAAACAGCAAGAGTGAGGGTGATTTTTCACAACCAAACTATCTTTGAAAGGGAGATTTCTCCTTATAAATGTCATTAACATCATATAAGAGGATTGACAAACATTGGAAATATTAGAGGCCTTGGGCATTGTGCTTAGAATCTAAAATGGTACATCTGTAATAGGACACAGCATAAATGGATACCAGTGAAACAACATGAGACCCAGGGACTCTACTTCCAGTTATGTCCTCAAAAGTATTGACAGCAGAGTCCTGCACAGGCATTTGGGCACCAATGATCACAGAAGCATCACTCACAATAACAAAATTATGGAAGCTTCAAAGGCTGCACTGACAGATGAATGCTCAGAAAAATGTAATAATCATGTACAAAGGAAATGGACTCTAACTTTAAAATCATCGCAAATTCTGACAACTACTACATGGATGAATCTCAGCAATAACATATACTCTGGGGTTCCCTAACACCCAAACCACAGACCTGCACCATCCCATGGTCTATTAGCAACTAAAATGGACAAAAGGAGGTGCACAGCATGGGATCAATTGAGGCTTCATCTGTACCTATGGTACTCACCATCTCTGCCATGACCACCTAAGCTGTGGCTCCTATCAGATCAACATGGAATTAGATTCCCTTGGGCACATGAACTCTACTATAGAGTGCATATGTGAGGGATCTTGGGTGCCTGCTTCCCATGAGAATGTAAACCTTGGTGATCAGAGGTGGAGCTGCGGCAGTGATGCTAGCACTGGGGAGCAGCTGCAAATACAGATGAGTGTTACCAGAGTGTTTTAACTGCAGGGACAATGATACATCAATTCCTTGCAAACTCAGATGAAAACATTACCAGTAAGTGGAAAATCAGAATTAAGCTGCATGTGGTGCCAGGTATTACAGTGGTTGTCAGTTCTTGCCCTTCAGTTGAACAGTTGCATATGAAGACAGACTTAAGGATATACAACACTTACTGAGGTCTACACTTGGCCCTTCTATTTAACACCTCCCACTGTGCTCCTTCTCTGAACTGTGAACTTCTCTCAGTTGCAGTGCTTTTGGTAATTTCATAAGCTATGCCTAGCCACAATGATTAAGAGACAAAGTGCCCAAACAGCTTCTGTGACAAGGGGAAAAATCTGAAGATGTAACAGCACAAAACTCGTAAGATTTCCAACAGAAAGAAAACTGCATCTAAAAGAAAATACATGAAAGTGTTCTACTTAAGTTTTGGCTTCATTGAGAGAAGAGATTTACATTCTCCAAACCTGTTTTGTATAGCATGTGGCTGGCTATCCAACTAAGGTATGAAAACCCCAAAACTCCTTGAATATCAAACATTCCAAATTTTTTAAAAAGGCTTGGAGTCCTTCAGTGGGAAAAAACGTGAACGTGAAAAACGAGAAATAGCAGAAGGTACCACTTCATCAAATGTGTCTACTCTGATGGGATCATTCTGAGTAGCTGACCACACTGCTAAAGCTGAAAGCAGCCTTTCACTATTTCTACAGAGTTGATTCTGCCTGCTGCTAAAGACATTTCTGAAGAACTTTTAGGGCAGACTGCATTCAGATGGCTAGCATCATTTATAGACAAATTGATGAGTAGCAGATGATTCTTGGGCACAGTACAGAGGATAAATGAGGTCCTGATCCACATCAGGAGACACCACCTGATCATGCGACACAGCAACAATGATGATTTTCATGCAATATATTTTTCAGGATGATGTACATGAGGGTATGTTATGTGCACCTTTGTTGCCATCCAAAACAACAGCTGAAGAACTCATGTGTTTGAGGGATGTGTCCCAGAAGGCACTTCTTCATGTGAATCTGTGCACTGTGTGATCCATGGAGAAAGGCTGTCTGGCCAAACAGTGTCACCTGAACTGAACAATGTTTGCAAGTACTAAAAAATTAACAAACACATTAAAGTTCAGGCTCTGACCTCATGACTGTGCCTGAAGCTCTTTGAGGACACATACACAGTCCTTACATGCCTTCTATTACACACGGAGGGGAAAAGATTTCTAAAGGAAGATCACTTTCCAAGGGTTTCAAATTACAAGAGATATTTAGAGATTTCTCTGAGAATAACACTAACCACAGTCACCATATTACAGTGACATTGATAGGGCACCAAATCTTGCTTGCTTGTGTGACATACTCAACCTAATTGATAATCTCAGTCTGTCACTTAAAGGGAAAAGCACAGTTGTGTTCAACTCAGCAAAGAAAATGATTGTATGTGAAGCAAAATGAAATATTTGATTAATGAGCATACAGTGAGATTTTAACATGTTTCAAACATTAACAGAGATTGACAAAAGGGGGCAAAGCTGGGACTGCTTTCTGTCAGGCTGTGCACAATCACCAATCTCAGCTTTCAAAGGAATGTAACTATTATTTCACAAATAAAATGCCCAGCAAATTGAGAAAGAGAGAGCACATTACCCATCTGAGAAGAAGCTAGGTGATACAACTTTATGCATGCTAAAAGAGAATCATCTGCTTGAGATTGCAAATAACTGGTCTTCAAATTATGTTTAAGCCAACTTCAAATCCTAGCACATTCTGATTTAAAGTCAGGATGAAATATCCTGAAGTCACAGAAGCACCAATGAGCTCACTTCCATTTACAGCATCTGCTCCTTGCAAGCAGGACTTTCTGCAATGACAGCCACCAAGTCCAGATTATGGAGTAGATAGGACATCAGTAAAAGATCGAAAGAGTTACATCTCCTGTTACACCCAAGTGGGACTGTCTAGTTTAAGGAAAATAAGCTCAGGGCTTGCACTTATTCTATAATCTATATTCATTTCACTAAATTGTTGTATAAATCTCAGATGTAATAATAATTGAAAGAGAGTACACAATAAATATAATGCACTTGAATCATCCAATCCCACAACCTATATAAAGTGCATAGGAAAATTATCTTCACTAAACCAGAACAAAAAGCTTCTTAACCTACTGATAGATGTTTAATAATATAATTACAATATATCAATTAGTACAGGATTTAAATTTTCGGAGATATTTACATCAGCCAAAACTGTAGAGAATGAATGGGAGCGGTGAGTACCAGAATGTGAGCAGGAGAGTGGAGGTATTCTATTATAGTCTGTCCTGATTTCAGTATCACAAATTGGAGCATGGCGGAGGGACCAAAGGAAAAAAAATGAAGACAGGAAGCACCACAGTGTGCCTGGAAGCACTTTAAATAGGAAGGGATGTTATGTGCATTTTAAATGCCTAAAGCAGGTATAAGGATAGATAGTCCCCAGAATAACTCCATTTGGTGGCCTCCTCCCATCACTGAAATTCACTGTCACATTTTCTCTCTCAACTTTCACCAAGTGCTAGTGAAATAAGAAACCCTCACCTTTCTGGACTGAGAGGAAACACGAGGCAGAGTCCTACACAACACTCCAGAAAGCAGTGCTCTATATTCAAGGGACCATGTGGCCGTTTCTACATGAACACAGAACACAACAATTAATGAACGGAAGTAGGAGGTTTCTTTTAAAGGAGAGTTGAGACAGACAGTGATAGAGAGACGTCCTCATATAAACAGATAAATCGTTCAATGGACTCAACTCTACATAGAAGTTCTCATCATGTCTTTGTTCACCTTTATCCTGACTTTCAAATCACAGAGTAGGACAGTATTATCTAAACACTGAAGAAGTTTTCTGAACTGTTAAGGGAATTTTTATTACCCAAAGAAAGTAAAAAGTTGATGGTGCTACCAATAAATCATTAAAACTCTAAAATACTTCAATCCTTCAAATATTGCCATCTCTTTCCTTCTAGGTATATACAAGGCAGGTGCCATGAAAAGAGAAAATGTGAGTTTTCCCAATACTTTTGTCCTGCTGGGATTCTCAGAGTTTCCATGGCTGGAGAAGCCCCTCTTTGCAGTGGTCCTGGTCTCCTACCTCCTCACCCTGCTGGGGAACAGCTCCATCATCCTCCTATCCCTAGTGGACCCAAGACTACAGACGCCCATGTACTTCTTCCTGGACAACCTCTCTCTTCTGGACCTCAGTGTGACCTGTGCCACTGTGCCTCAGCTGTTGGCCAACCTCTGGGAACCAGACAAGACCATTGCTGCCTGGGGCTGCATCACACAGGCCTATATATTCACTTTGACAGGCTGTGCTGAATGCATCCTGCTGGCAATGATGGCCATTGATCGCTATGTGGCCATCTGCCGGCCCCTCCTTTACACTCTCATCATGCGCCCCTGGGTGTGTATAAACATGGCAGCTACATGCTGGTTGAGTGGCCTGGGCAATTCTGTGCTACTTGTAACTCTGACCCTCCAGCTCTCCTTCTGTGGGCACCACATGCTGGACCACTTGTTCTGTGAGGTGCCTGTGCTCATCAAGGTAGCCTGTGGTGACACCTCTTTTGAGGAGCTGGCCCTGGCTTTGGCATCCATCCCTTTTGCTCTACTGGCTCCCCTAGTGGTGATTATCTCCTACATCTTTATTGCTAGGGCTGTACTGAAGTTACCCTCAGCTGAAGGAAGGCACAAGGCACTCAGCACCTGCAGTTCCCACTTGCTGGTGGTCACCATGTTCTTTGGCCCTTCCATGTACATGTACCTCCAGCCCCCTGCCCACAACACACAGGCCAAGTTCACATCCTTCTTCTACTGTGTGATCACCCCAGTGCTCAATCCACTCATCTACACCCTGAGAAACAAGGATGTGAAGGCAGCATGGAAGAGGATCCTGCAATCTCAGGGTGAGGTAAAGTCTTTATAATCCATATCTAAGTTACAAAATTAAATAGAGCTTTTGAAAAAACAAAGGAAAGAATCTTTTGAATACAGAAACAGTAGGGGAAGAGAACATAAAGGTGTAATATACGTTACATATAGGTACAAATTTCCTGGGATGAACATGCACTTTATATACTGTGAATATGTACTAATACAAAAATCAATAGCTTTTCTATAGAGCAGTAGTGAACTAACTAAAAAAAAGGAAAGTAATTCCATTTATAAAGCTTGCAAAAAATAAAATATCCAAGGATCAATCTAACCATGAATGTTGAAGACTTCCATGATGAAAATTTCAGAATATGGAAGAAAGAAATTAAAGGGGACACTAGAAGATGGAAAGACTTCTCATTTTCATGGATGTCATTTTCATGGATGGCCAGAATTAATATTATTAAATTGGCTGTATTACCAAAAGCAATCTAAAGAATCAATTCAATCCCCAACAAAATTCAAATGACAATCTTCATACAGCTAGAAACAAATCCTAAATTTCACATAAAAACAGAAAAGACAGAATCCTAAGTAAAAAGAGAAACTCTAGAGGCATCTCAAAACCAAAAGTGAAATTGTAAGACAAAGCCATAGTAACAAAGCAGCATGGTACTGGCACAAAAGCACATACAAACTAGATCAAAGGACCCCAAAACAAATGCACATAGAGATTGAAAATGGCAGAGTGAATAACAGCAGCAAAATACAGCCTGTTCATTTCCAGGGGCCTGGAATCCAGACGTATAGTACAGGAACTGCATGAGAGTTGTGGTTGTTTGTTTTTTGTTTTTTTGTTTGTTTGGTTGGTTGGTTGTTTTTTGTTGTTTTTTTTTTTTGCCTGAATAATTATAAGCAGACCTTCAGAAATCAGGAAAGACTTGACAAGGAAAGTGGAAATACAGGAAATCTGAAAATGCTGAGTGCAGTACAGAGAAAGTAATGAAAAAGTCTGAAAAGCTAAACCCAAATACCAAAGAGAGGTCCTCACTCCACTAATGCAAGTTAAGCACAGGAGATTATCAGCTGGAAGGAGAAGCAATGGACTGGGCTGGTAGCACCAAATCCCAAGAAGCCCACAGTTACTGTAAACTACAAAGAGAGAATGCAGTTTTAACTGAAAGTAACACCGTCCACGTGGCAGTCTAGAGTGGGAGAAGAAATCCAGGACAGAGGCCACCATAGGTGAGGGATCAATGAGGGAAAGGGTTGGTCGACTAACACTGTGCTACAGGGACATCTTGAGTCTAACAGCTTGAGGGAAGGGGGCAGCACTGCAGAGGAGAGACTCCCGGAACAAGCTCTCCAACATTGCCTCCCACTCACCTGGATGGAAGGAGAAACCCATCATGGGGCTGAACGACACTTAGGGCCCAATAAAACCATGAAATGCAACCAGAGAAAGGGAGAGCCGGCAACACAAAAATAAGAAATGTCCCCCAGCATCCTCACAAACACCGGGAATACTGTGTCCCTGCAGCATCCTCCCACCACCAACCCCTCAGGGACTAAAAGGAAAACCCCACACCCTAGGCACAGAAAGGCAGAACACGGGGAACTGTGGGCAGCCCAGAGCTCACTGGGAAGGGCTGGGAGATCTCATTCCTGGAGACTTGGGGAGGGGAGAGACTCACTGCAGCTGCACAGAGTGGGCCTTTTCCCATTGCTTCCCCAGACACCAGAACGATCTGAGACAGCGTGAAATCCTTCCCACCACCCACGGCCCCACATGGGAAAGGAGGCCCTCCGCTGAGCCTGGGGACTGTGCTGAGGTCCACAGGTTGGAAAGCAGAGCTCTTGGGACAGGGGCCAAGGGTGGGTAAGGCCTGAGGGTGAAGCAACAGAAAGCATTGCCTGAGCTGAGCACTTCTGAGCTGAGCACGGGGCAGAAAGCTCCTGTGCAGAGTGTGGAGATGATGGTAGGATTGTCCTGCAATAAGGGGCAAGCGAGTGGTGGCCACTGGTGGAGGTCAACAGAGATCTGGGTGTTGGGCAAACTGCACTGCATCCTCTCCCTCCCCAGTTAAATCAGGAGGTTGGATTTCCACATAGAGACAGAGGCCTGCAGTTGGCCACACCTAAACCGTGGCTTGCAGCCAGGAGGCAGACACTGACAGCCCTCTCCAGGACCAGGCAGGTGGTTAAGAAGTCCACAGGGGAGACTGCAGTGGAACTACAAGGACAGCACGCAGGGAGCTGTGTGGACCCTCCGGCTCCATGGTATTTCAGCTGTGTCAGGGCTTCTTCTTTGTTTCTCTTCGTGTCTGTTCTGGGGTTTTTCTTTCCTTTTCTTTTCTTTTTTTTTTCCTCCTATTCTTGCTTCTTTGTTATTTTTATTTTTAATGTTTTCCATTTTTTCTGCTTCTCTACGCCTGCCTTTTCTCTTTTCCCTTTCTTCTTTGGTTTTCTTCATTTTCCTATCCCCTTCTCTTTTCTCTCTGCTTCTCAGCCTTTTTGCAACATATATGCAGGAAGTACTATGTACTTGCAACAGCAAATGAGATTTGAGCAGTGCTATAGCTTGAATTTGACAACTTGTGGCCATGTGGGTTATGCTCAGCAGAAATATGATTAGAAGTACAGTTACATGACCGATCTTGGTTCTCACTTTTTCACCCATAGCCCTTCCTTCCGTTAAAAAGTACCAATAAACTCAATGAAAAAAAAAGACAAAAGATACATGCTTAGAAGATTCAAACACTAACTACAAACAACCTTTCAGCCACCCTCAATCTCTGGTTATATTTTCCTTCCTCTGTATCTCTCCTCCAGCCTCCACAAATATTCTCTCAAACTTCTTCAACACTAGACCTTTACTCCAGCTATAAAAATAACTCCACATGCTCTGACCTCCTATTTTTACCCACTGACATTTCTCTTATCTCCCTCTTTCTTATTGCCTTACCTCCTTCCTTTTCAAAATCCCCGTGTCTTCTCCCATTCTGTCACAGTCCAACCCAATAGCTAATAACAATGTAATACAGTCTTTGAGAGTTAATTAGAAAAAATAAAAATTATCAAAAAAAGTTTTAATGTTCATGATGGATGAATGACTGAATCCATGGTTGTGTTAGTAGCCAATAGAAATTCTCTCCCTATAACACAGTGACTGGATCCAACCTAATTAAACTGAATATGTTAAAGTGGTAGACAATGCCTCTTTAAAAATAAAACCAAGATCATGTCACTGGAAACAGAACCTTAACAGATCTTCTACCAACAAACTCTTCTTGTATTTGACCTCAACCTTCAGCACAAAAAGGGAACATGAAAACAAAAGCCAACAAATTTCCTTCAAAGACATTCAACTCTCTCAGAGCAGATCCAAAAGGCACTGATGAAGATTAAATCAAACACCAATTAACTGAATTATAAAAAATTGTGAAAGAGGAAGCAAAGAAACTTGGTGAGCTCAAAGCTGATGTAAAAAAATCAGAACGTGAAATTAGCTAACTGAACAATTCTTAAACAATAATCACATAAAAAGCAGAACTAACCAAAACCATAAAAGATATGAGGGACAAGTATATCAGAGAAATAGAGTCCACAAAGAGGTTCCAAACAGAAAATCCAAAGATAAAGACTTCTATTGAGCATAAACTGTATAAATGATCAATGTAAGGAGAATGCCTGACCTTGAAAACAGATAGGAAGCACAAGACCAGATGCTCTGAGACAGCTTAAAACAAGAGAGGAAGGAAAACTGATCAAACAGCTACTGGATGAGGGAAAAAAGTCTAACCTAAGACTACTTGGAGTTACAGAAACAGTAGCGGTCCACATGCATGGAAAAAACATTCAGAGATCACAGAAGAAATTTTTTAATTATGGGAAAACAACTCATAGTATAATTAAGAATATGGTTAAGTAAGACATAACAATTATAACGAGGAAAAAAATCTTCATGACACACCATAGTCAAAATCCCAGAAGTGTAATACAGGGTCAAAATCTTAAAAGCTGTCAGGAAAAATTTTTAAAAATCATGTATAAAGACCCAGGAAGGACCCAAGGACCCCAGAGGGGGTTTTTTTCAGCTGCCTGCCTGCCTGCCT